GTATTATTCAAGGAGTTACAAGTCCACAGATTATTAAAGGTTAATAGAAAATATAAAAGTCATGCAATCCAAACACCTTTCTATTAAAATGTTTGGTATGATGTTGAAAGGAAAATACTTTCTTCCTATTGTTTATGAGAACTTGATTTTTTTTTCTGGATGGTAGATAATACCTTCTCTCTCTTTCTTTTTTTTTTTTTTTTGGTTTAATTTAGAAACAATTTTGTCAACTGCTGTAATTGTTTAGAGAAATTACCATAATATATAACTTGCTTCCTAGTGACACACTTGTGTAGAGGTTGTGTATATTTATGTTACTGGCTATATTAATTGCTATAAAAAGAATTGACTGAATATGTTCAATTTATTAAAAGAAAGAATATACACTGACTCTAGGTAGGTCTATTCCTGGGAAGCATTTGAAATCTAGTCAGACTATGGTTATATTTGAACCGTGGGATATTCATACATTTTCCTGCTTCCTGTTTGGCTATGACCAAGAATTTACCTGCTGTGGGATGTTACCCTCAAAGTCTAAGTAAAGAGCAAATCTTGAAAACAAGGCAATTCAAAACATTTTCTATGGACAGCCTTTTGTGTGATCATTTATTCACGGTTGTAGCCACAAAACCAAACCTTGGCTTGGATCTCTACAACTAAAATTTACATTTTAGAAAATTGTGCTTTCATTGTTGTCTTCTCTTGTTTTTTTCTCTTGTCACAGTCATTTTCAGTGTGAAATATTTGGGCTGTGTTGTATTGATTCAGATACTAACATTTAAAGAGCTAGATCTAGAAAAATGGAGCATCTGTGTAAACTTTTCAGTAATAAATAGGATGATTATGTTCATAATGTTGTGACTTTTGTGTTTCTTATTTTCACTTGGCACATAATAATTGTACACATGTTTGAGATACAATGTGATGTTTTGTTATGTGTACATCGTGAATTGCTCAAATCAATAATTAGCCTATCTTTCATCTCAGATATTTATTATTTACTTGTGGTAAGATATTCAAAATCCTCACTTCTAGCTCCTTTGAAATATATAAGACGTTATTGTTAACTGTGCTTGTTTTCACTTTGAAATGCCAGGCAGGATGGCAACCTGAGGTACGAGTAATGATGGACCGGTTTTGCAAACCCCTACTTTTCAGAACACTCCTCATTTTCTTTTTATGTTTTAATGTCATTAACAGTGAGAAGTTGTACTTTCCTGAGGCATGATTTATTTATTGACTTGAACAGACTTTCTAATTTAGTTTTTCATCCTTCATTTTGGATCAGAGGTATGTGTGAAAAATGTGTTGGTTACATTAAAGATCTATTTAAAAGAAAACCTTAATTATTCATCCAGACACCCAGACCTCATCACCTTTTTTTATATTCCTAGATCTGAAGGATCCAGGGTCATTGACTTGCCCAATGTAGTGATTATTTCTAGCCGTGTATCATATCATGTAGGGATGCTTCATAAAAATTCTTCAAAGGACCTCCCTCCCCCAAGTATTTTTACTTAATAGGTCTGGAAAGAATCCTAGAAATCTAAGTTAGTGTTCTCAGGAGAATTTGGCACCCGACTCAGTTTGAAAAGCACCTGTTTGGTGTCTTTCAGTGTTCAGGCGTAGTATGTGTTGTGGAGCCATGGGAAGGGTGGTGTTTTGAATTGAATTTTTATTTCATAATTATTTGTAGCTCTGTCAGTATGTATAAGAATGAAGTCCTTGTCATAGTATTAGAGTATTGGTAACTTTATCTTGTAGGTTTTCTCATCAACGTCGTTATTTTATAGTTGAAAAGCTAAAAGTATGGAGAGGATAAGTAACTTGCTTAAAGTTCCCAGTGAATTTCCCTGTGAGCCTAGTTACGCCAGTGTTCTTCCTAGCAGCCACTGGTACTACCACAGTATTAGCCACAAACTCCTATTATCACATTGTTAAGAGTTCAGCAGCCAATGGCTAAGTTAAATGACTGAAAATACTATGCAGCTGATTTTTGGCTTTCACGCTTATCCTTAGGGATGTGACAAAGGTTAATTTCTTATATTTTTCATGCTAAAGTTTCATTCTACTCACTATGCTCTTGTTTTTCAAGTAAAGATTTCTAAAATATTTACTTTTTCTACAACTAGAATTTAAAAAAAAAAACAAGAGTAGGTTGCTCTCTGGTTTTGTTTGATTTTCTTTGAGTATTGCTAACAATGTCTTTAGACAAATTTCCACTAGATTAGTAATTTGATTTGGCAGAACTCTGTCTGGGCCCTTAGGTGGTAGATATGCAGTGAAAATTATAGCCAAGTAGAAAATACCGAAACAGGGAGCTGGGTACCCTGGGTAGCTAGCTAGTCCTGGCTTTGGTTCTTGCTACTTTGGTTCTATGGATGGGTAACTTTTATCTTCTTTAATCTGCTTAATGTTTTCTCTTTCTCCCTCGTTTCTTTCCCCCCTCCTTCCTAATTATGAATACTTTTAGAACAAAAAGCATTCAGTGAATTAGGAAGAAGAATAAAATAATGAACTGTATTTCTACCACTAACTTAATAAATAAAACATTATTTCAGCTTCATTTTCTTTTTTTTGGAGTGTGAGGAAATAATGTGCAAATACCTTTATGAAGTGATTTCAAAGTTTCATTATGTAAATTTTTAGTGTTTCAGAAGTTAATGCCTGGTATTGAAACAATGCTGTGACTATATGCGTATTTAAAGGTCTTTAGAATCTTTTAGGAAATATTTTAGATAGTCAGATAACAAATTGGATTGAGGATAAACCAAATCTGTAGTCAGGCATCAGAAGAAAAAAATTTAATTGTAATGATTTGACACTCAACAGTGAATGTTAGGTAGCTTCTTTGTAGCGACTTATTTCTTTAGCTTGGTATTAACATGACATTTGTGCAAATAATTTGCAGCAGTAATTGTATGTTATATAGATATCAGGAAATGTATCTAAAGCAACACTGTATATTGTCAGTAATACATAATGTTATGGATGACTTAGAGGTTTAGAGGAAGAAGAAACAAATCAACATT